ACAGATGTGGATAGTACTGCTGGGAAGTGTGAGCCCTTCTGAATACTTTGTTATGTTTTTAGATCTGCTTTTTTAAAGAAAAACTCTTGTGAATAGATAGTGTTGTCCAGGCTAGAGCTTTGTCAGTTTACAGTATCTGATTATTTAATCTGCAATAGATATTACTGTATTGCAATCTGTGCTCTCAGTGGAAAATATTCTAGGTTTTAATTAGCACCTTGTAAAATCAAAACGTGATTGGATTGAACATTAGGTCATGTCCATGATGTTCACCAGGTAAGTCAACAAAAGCAAACAGGTAGTGCAGCACTGTTTTTCGTGTCACTGCAATTTCCTGTTTAAATGTAAGAAATACTGGCTCATGGGAGATAACTGATATAAATTATGGTCATTAAATATTGCCATTCTTTCGCAACAGAAGCTACTGATACAGAAGTACTTTGGCCGTCAGGGAAAGGGAAGATAACTTACTCTAGATGTTTCTTTTGCTTATGGGAAAATTTGCTTAGCTTTGTTGAATCTCTTTGTGTGGGCACAGGGGACAAAAATGTCCTTCTGGAGAGGAAAAAGCATTACAGAACACTTAAAACTAAGACATAACAGTGTTTTCCTGTGCTGTGTGTGGGAAAAGGAGTAAGTGCTTGTATTTGCCAGCTATGCATGTCCAGTTGTGGTAGATGTATGCAATAAAATCATATTTATCCTGTTTCGTATCAGCAGGACTTTAAAAATATTGAAGTTGGGCTGCACAGCTGACAAACATGCTAAAGGAAACTCGGTGCTGCAAAGCATGTTTTGCCAACATGCTACACTATTACTGCTCACTGTGGTGTCCAAAAGCAGATCTTCTAGTGCAGCACCAGGTAAACACAATTTCTTCCAGACCTGATTCACACTATACCTGTATTTGCCTCATCCTAACCTAGAGCAACAGGGAGGCTGAATAGGGGCATCCTAAGTGTGCCCTGTAAGCCACTTTATTTTCATGACCAAGAGAGTTATCTTTGTTACTCTTCCATATATTTAGGTAGACTAGTGAAGAGAAAGGTATTTTAGGAGATACTTTTAATTAGTTGTGAGAGTCTCTGTTTCTGGGCCTCTGCTCAGAGGCCTCACAAATTTTTAGTGATGCGCTTGGAATTTTGTCACAGCAAGAGCTGATGGATTATAATGCTCTGGGATTTCTCAAGATTTTTTAAATTCTTTTTCCATAACACATACCATGGCTAAAGAGGGAGTGAGTCTCAAGGGCTCCATTTGCTAATGTGAAGTCTGCCTCCTTTCTCATTCAGGGTCACGTAACTTCCTTCTAGCATTTGCAGGAACTACTCACAAGGAAAAGTAATACTAGGACAATACTATTATTTTAGGTTTTAATTCATCTCCTTCTATCTTCTTTCTTTTCTGTGCTGTAAAAATGAAAAGCACTACCAAACCTGGACCTTTTCCTGAGCTTAGCAAGTCCCAGGAGGCTTGGATCTGGCCTCAAATACCTTCCCATGTTTCACAGATAGCCATCACAGGCCGTGGCAGTCATCTTTTGCAATTCTTCAGAGGCTAGGAAACTCTGTAGCAGAAAAGATGATGATTTTACAGTATATGTTTATTGCAGGATATTTTGAAGAAGTACTGATAGCCCTCTAACTGTCTGAATATATACGCTCCCATCAGTGACAATGATGCTGGCTCCAGTTATATTCAAGGAAAGCAAAAGGAGGTTTGAATCCAGTTCGGGAAGCCTTTGGTTTTCTGAGAGAGATTCAGCTAGGCTTGAAGTTGCAGCTCATGTCCCATCCCTTCATGTCTAGATATAAAAGAGCATGTAGTAAAATCATATTCATTCTGTTTTGTATTAGCGGGACTTGTAAAATAATTAGTCTGGGCTGCACAACTAAAAATATTAAACTAATTCAGACTGAGCTCTCACTTCAAGGGCATAAAAGAGCAGAAAAGTTATTGAGGGAAAATCACATTTGTTCCTTTTCATGTGAAGGACTTCAAGTCCATAGAATGTCAAGTGACAAGATGAATGTTGTCCTTCTGTCAACTAACTATATTTTAAGTGGCAGTTGAGAAGATAGAGGGGTTTTTACCTCCTGATGACTAAATTCAAGGTTTACTTATACTGACAAAACTCCCAATGTAATTATATTGTAGCCACTAAAATCAGTCTGGATTTCTTTCATGGTAAATGGCAAGCAGGAACAGTATGACCTGTGCATGTTCCCATCTCAGGCCTCAAGATACTATGAAACTCAGTTGGTGTTGTGGCTGGTGAACATTGCTGACTACTCACCCTCTTTTGCCCTGCCCTGCATCAGGTGCAGCCTTGTCCTCGCTACTGGGGACAATCTGGTATTGCATTAGAAAACAGTGAATCTGAACTGCAGCAATTAGGTCTTTTTATTTTCAGAAAAGCAGATTTAATGTTGGGAGATTTTTCTCCCTTCCTCCACTGGTGTTCCTTCTGACTTCTTGAAATGCCAATAATTAAAGTATAATCAGTTTCATGGCCTTCCTATTGTCCTTCCCTGAGTACATCTGTGTTTAATTCCTCCATTCTTCGAGAGAGGATGTCTACCTGCTCTTGAGCGTTCTCTGGCATTTTCCCTGCCGTGCCTGAGGACCTGTATTGTGGGTGAGAAGTTGCAGTGCATGTGTGAGAAGAGTGGCAGACCAGTGCCTTCAGACTGCTGCAGGGTGAGGAACACAGATTGTCATGGTAGAGCTACACACGAGGCATTTGGCTCAGCTGTTTTTAATGGTGCACCCCAGGTCTCAACCCAAAGATAAGTGTATCTCTCCTTCAGCCTTTCTGCCATGCTTTCTCTTTCTCATCTGCTGGACAGGAAGAAAAGTGGAAAAGCTTCAAAAAAGTGTGGGTGTTTCCTATTGCTAAGGTTAAGTGCTAGACATTATCAAAACGACTGGCTTTTGGATGTAGTGTTGCATCTCAGACAACTACACTGGGGTCAGCTACTGAGTATATAACTAATTTATGCAGCAGGGCTGGCTTTTTGCCCCCATGATTGCACGGTGAGCACTTGACAGGATGCTGTGGGGTACACCTGTTTCACAGAAGGGATGGATCATCCAGAAGCAAATAAATTTATGTTGGTTTTCTTTTACTTATGAGACTGGATGTCTTATTATTTCCCTTGTATAATGCCAAGCTTCACCAGTGCAGGTTTGGCCATGCTAGGGATGCTTTGCCCATATCAGAATTCGCAACAATATTATGACTGCCTTGATATAATTTCATTAATGCAGGTATGGCCCCCAAAGGGTCATTTAATAGCAACATATTTTTAAGTTTTGAACAGACTAGTGCTTGCAGGACCCCATCAGATCCACCCCAATTTGTTCGAAGTGTAGACTGCTAAACTATTCATACTGCCATGATGTATGACATACATGGCAGATCTAAAAAGAAACCCAGAGTAATACTGAAGAACTGAAAAAAAACCACATGTTTTGCAAATGTGCACATGTCTAGGTTGGTTGGCCCAGTTACTGTCCTGGACAAAATCATGGAAGGACCATAATAGTAAGCATTAAAAGAGAGTGTGTAATAAATGTCAACTAGTGACATAGCATGAAAAATACACAGTGATAAGGAAATGTCTGTTTCTTGGTGGGATCACAATTTTGGCTGCTAAAGGTTACCGAGTTCTTGTCATAAATTCTAGCAATCACATTCTGATTTAAATGTGTCTCTATCCAGAAATCAGTAGTGGCTTCAAAGTGTATATTGAAACCTACTTAGCTGAGAAGACAGAAAGAACAATTGCAACTAATTAGCTGTGGTCCAATAGGGATGTTCATACTGGAATTTAGTCATAGTCTCACTCTACTCAGTACCTTTTATCTCATTTAGATAGTCTGGAAGAAACAAAATGATTATGACAAAAAGTCAAGTCCAACAGAGCCCATTATTTTATAATTATGTCTAAATTCAACCTGTATATTTTTGATCTAGGCCTCATTTGTGTCTTAACCTGACAGTTGTGTTGTTTAATCCCTGCTAGCTGGGCTGTAGTGCCCCCTTGCATTGCACTCTCTGGAGGCAGAGACCAGCTTGCTTTCTAAGTTAAGCTTGACTACACAATATTTAATATACTGAGCAATGAGTCACAGCTGAGTGGGACTTCAGTTACTGTTTCCTGGCAGAAATTGGAACTTCACTGCATAAATGCTGTTTTTCTTTTTGGCTGACAGCTGAATGGCAAGAGTGGCGAGGAGCTGCTGCTTCCTGGGGGCAGAGCAGCATTTGGTTTGACTCCAGAGTCAGTGGGAGGCAGTACTAGTAGCACCACCTCCCTGCTGAACTTGGAGCCTGACACCCGATGGCATCTCCTCTGCCCTGTTCAGGGGCTCAGCAGTGAAAACTGCTGATGGTGTGTTTCTGCTGATGCCCCAGACACTGGCTCAAAGGCATTCTTGCTTCCCAGTTCTGATCACAGCCAGAAGGCAGCTTGGGTCCTAATTTGCACAACAGCAGCTTACCAATAAACTTGCTGAACCAAAGACTGACATTAAAACCTAAACTGTGGAGTACAAATGGTCATCTATGGATTTTTAATTTCTTTTCTTTTGCCAGATCACCCTCAGTGCTCATTGTTATCATAATTCACAGCTGGTTGTTGTGCAGGGTATTAGTAATCTCTCAGAAGTCTTTCTCACATGTATGCAATTAGCTTTCTGGAACAAGATTTTCTACACAAGTAATAAGATGTTATAAAGATGGAAGTTGTTTTAAGAGATGATAGCTACATCCCCATCCTTATGTCCTGATTAATAAGTAGTTCCTTTTTGGGTGATGAACTGGTATGTTCAAATTACAGTAGTAATTTTTCATCATAAACATAAACATTGTTTTGATCCCTGGTCCTTAATTGATTCTTAGTTGTAAAACTAAGGTTCTGCAAAAAGACAGTAGGCAATTTCTATGTTCGAGAGTTGTTGGAGACTACTCTTTCTCACCATTATTTGTCTTCCAGCAGATTTTTAAAAGCATCACCAATGAAGACTCAATCCAGGGACAAGGAAATCGGAGACTGATAAGTTTTTCATTGTCAGGTAAGTCACTGCTGATGAGAAAGTTTTAAGCCCAAAGAGTTGGGGACTGGAGTTTCTAGAACCTTTCATGAGCATGTTTCTAAAACCTTTCATTTGTGGTAGTTATATATATGTATATATTTATGTATGGTTTTTTGCCTGTTGCTCTAGAAGTGATGCTGAGGCAGAGAATTAATATCTGTGATTACTGCCACACTCTCTTCCTTCAATGAGAGTTATGTGCTGAAGTGTCTTGTTCAAGTAGAGTTTTGGGGCCAGATTAGGTTTTCTGTTCACAATTAAATATGTAGGTCAGGGAAAGCAAGATCAAAGGCATGTGCTTAACTTAGAGAGCACAATGTGATTTGTGGTAGTATTTTGTTTCTTGGAGAGCACGTTCCACAGTCATGGTCTGGACCTGAGGCAGATCTATGTGCACAAGCTTGTCTGTGTTGCTCAACAGTGACTCTCTGACTTCTTGAGCCAGAACACTTCTCACACTCCTCTGCACTTCTTGAAGAATGCTCAGCCTCATTACTTGGCATGTCACTGCAGGTTTTAAAGGCTTAATATGGTTCCATGAAACAGCTATGAACCATTTGATCTGGCTTTGGTAAAAACAGTCTGCAAATCACATCTGTAGACAAAAATCAGTTTGTCAAAAGAGAGTAGTTGTGAGCAAGGTTCTCGTTTTGGAGTTTTATGCTTGCTACTTGGTTTCTCTATTTTTTTAGCTCCTGGAAGACAAAGATGCTTACCTTGACTTGAAAGTTCTTTGAGGAAGTAGTACAGAGTAAAAAGAGTTACCCTAGATCTAGTTACCCTAGAAAGGCATAGGCCTTTCTGTATAAAGTCCTACACTTAGACAAGTATTTCATTATGTGATTAGTTTTGGCCATATGATTTGTTTCAAGCTTCCCTCTACTAAGCACACAAGTCAGTGTTCTCCCAAATTAGATGTCCAGTGTGGTTCTTGAGAGGCTGTATATAATACATGGCAAGTTAGACTGGTATTAGGTGGGGCTGTTTTAACACATCACTTATTTTTGTGAGTTGGACACTAGGCATCCACCCATCAGTTGATAAAACCATGGGCTTAGCTCAAGAGAAATAAAGAAGTAGAGTTAATATTTTTTAATGTTCTTTAATAATCTTTTACAGAAAATGTGGCCCAGAAATAGTTACAGTTTTTCATTCTCTCAGATTCTTTGGCCTAGTAGACCAAGAGGTGTCAAGAGTAGTAATTTGTGAGACTGATAAATAATGTGGTCTCAGTTGGCCCCATTATAAACTAGAGTATCTAATTTACAGCTTGATTCAAAGTATATAAAGACCATACCTTGTAATATATTTGGGATATCTTATTCTCATGGTTTACAAGCAATTAATCTACATTTGTATCACATCTGTATTAACAGCATCCTCACAGCCAGGTATTTGAAAGGCTTTGATAAAGTAATTGGACAATTATTTTATCAAAAATCTGTGGTATCAAAATAGTTCTATTTCAGTCTTTCTGAAATTAACAGATTAACATATCACAAGGATTTATTTGTTACCTTCTCACTTAGTCAATACCACAACAACAAAATGTTGTCTCTCTCAAAGCAAAATTGTTGCTATTCCTGTATCTAATATATCTAATAGAATACAAATCAATCCAGACCTTCCAGAGGCATCAGCAGGAACTAGGATTCCTTTCCATTTGCATTACTATCTCAGCAATAACTTCTCTATTGTCATGAGTCCTTTTGGCTTACATAGACTTTTCCTTTTCAATATCTATATTTTGGTATATTGTCATCTTCAGTATCATTACTTAAAAGCTATGTTTCCAAATTATGGTTGATTTAGTGGCAATTAAAAAGAAAAAAGTGTCAAACCATTAGAGTGATTGGGAACCATTGCATTAAGCACTGCACCAGCACAGAGCCGCCATGCCCTAAGCAGTCTGTCATCTAAAGAATGCAAGAAGAGCTATGTCTTCTACCATATCACTTTTTAAAGAAAAAATTATTAGAATGAGAGAGAAAAATGTCGAAGTAGGCCAAATTCCATGAAATGCTGAACAACATCAGTGCATTTCAGCTGACTTGTATTGCTTGTACTGCTGAGGCTCCAGTCAGACCCTATGTGGAAATGAACTGTGCAGAAACAGGTTATTTTCTATAAACCTGGTGACAAACTGCTTTCTTCTTTCTGAAAGTGCTTCTTTATAGAGTATTTGGTTGGACAAAATCCAACTGGTTTCATGGGAGATTTTGCTTGAGAAAAGATTTCTGGATTGAATAAAAATGTTAAACAATGAAACAGGGGTAAAACAATCCTTTAAGGCACAAGAAGATGGCTGGCTTCTTGAGAATGGAAATAGCAGAGAGTTCACATTATGTCACTAGGAGGGATTTTTCCTTCATGTTTTCTGTGTTGGAGACTGGAAGTTGGTCCTGTGAAGGGTTAGTTCAGATCAATATGTTCACTAGCAAGACTGATCTCAAAGAAGGTAGTTTCCTGTAATTAAGCCTCTTAATAGTTTTTATGATGACAGTATTATTATAACTTTCATTATTTAAAATACCAAGAGAAATATTTTAAGCCTAATTTAACTAGATTGAAAAAAGTCTTTAAGGAAAGCTATGCAGTCCATTTTGCATTTATTTTCTGAAATGCCTTTTCTGCTGTTACCAGTGAATATCACACTTCTGATAAGGTGCCTGAAAGTGTCAGAGCTCTCTTGTATGAACTGTGGAAAGAAGATATGTGCTAAGCTTCCTGAGATGTACCAGCTACTTCACTGAAGGTTCATGGTTCAGCAGTATAACAAATTTGCTGAAAGCCCTTAAAAGCAGTCTTGTTGGCTGGTATATTTACAAAGTGTATCATGAGGTTTGCATGATATGCCTCCTAGCTCTATGTTGCATGAAATAAGTTTTTCAGGCTTTAATATTTCACATATCTCATGTGTTTGCACACTTTATTCAAGTGTGCACACATTTATTATGTGTTCTTGTAGAACAAATGACCAGCAGATTTGAATATTCTACAAACATTCAGGCATTTATCCTCTTCACACCACTCTGAGAATGTTGTTAGTTATTTTTGTATGTCTTTCAGACCAGGTATTCGGGTAGTATCAGTTGTCAGTTTAAAGAAGTCAGAGTATAAATCAGAACTGAAAATAGTATAAGGTCCACTAAGGGTCATTATGACTGTAGTTGTTACCATGAAATGCTTGTTCAGAATGCAGATATATAATGCACTTTATCTTCCAACAATTTTTTTAAATCCTAGTAACTGATTTTATAACAGGAGTTCTAGCCACTAAATTTTGTTTAATATTGTTATAAACCTGCTGCCTCTTCTGCCCTCCTCAACTCAAGCCAACTTGCTCAGATGTATTCTTTATAAACCCGAGGTACTAATCCCTTGACTTTTTCTTGTTGGATCTTGTGTGAAGGTGAGGTGAATTTCTACCACTTCCAGTACATCTGTGCCTGCAAAGTAGTGCCATACTCCAGACTAAGTTTGAAAGGCCTCAAAAGGCTTTGAATTCAACTACTTTATTATCCTATTTAGCATAGGCCACCTTGCTCCATGGTGTGGAGCTTTGTGTGAGTTTGGCTCAGATATATCTTACAGATAGTAGTCTGGATCTGAGGATACCGGGAGATGGTATTTTGTTCAAGTGGTTAACCGCTTGCAGTGATAAAAACTCCCACTTGCTGTGATAAGCTGTTCACTTTAGCTGTTCAGACTTTTTCTGTTTTCCTTCTTGATGAAGACAATTTAAAAGGTAGCCTGTCTTTCAGCCATTTTTGAATAATTAATTTCTCTACTCCTTTTTATTTATTAATAGACCTATTTTCTTCCTAATACCTCTGCTGCCCTTTCCTTGCCCAAATGACAGTCCTTCCATTTTTGTTTGTAACAGCTAGAAGAAAATATTTTCTCCGTTTTTCCACTGTCTTTAATGTTTTGCCCGGTGGCCCTGTTGGTTTATCTGATCCACTTAGTCGTCTTTTTTTAAATCTCAGATCATTAAACACCTCCTTGTGCAACTACACCTGCCTTTTTTTTTCTTACATCCTGTTTTAAAAGGAAAGTGAAATCTGTCTATAGATCTGTAGATTTCTGAGAGCAGGAAGAAGCACTTTAATTATCTGATTTAACTTCTTGCATATCACCAGTTGCAGAATCTCATTCAGTAGCTGATCAAGTCAGTCATCTATTGTAGTGTATGTAGTATATTTCTCAATTCCTCTGCATTAGTTTGCAGTGTTGGATTTTAAGAGTTCCTATCATTGCACATTACTGTTTGTTTTCTAAACTTCCTTAATATTTGCTTCTTGAAATCTGATACCAGATGCAATACTTCTGTGAATCCATGCTCACTTTTCTTATGATAAATTTTAATATCATATACTGCTGCATGAATCAAATTGGCATTTCAATAAATGCAATATTGATGTGTTCTTACAACTGAAAGGTTGTTACACTGATAGTAGCTAAAATAGTTTCTCTTGCTTTAAAAGCACATGACTGAGAGGCAGTATCTATGTGCCTCCTGTTGAATCTTGAGCAAAGTGGAGTTTTGTTGTTCCTTCTTTTGAAGCCACGACTATGTCTTGGGTAGCTCAGGCTACAGAGTCCAAGCTCTGCAAAAGAAACACTCTACAAAAGAAACACTGACATATCAGCACCCTGGCAGTTACCTTCCCTCACTGGTAGTCAATCCAGATACCAGTCCTGTTCAAGTTCATTTTTTCAGTGTCAGAACCCAAGCTGACAGCTCTTTGGGAATTTACAAAGGAAATCTGAAGGGAAATGTTGGAACTGTCTACCTACATCCTAATTAGCAACTCTCTTGTGGTGATAGATTATGAAGATGGTTTACTCTGCTTTGATACGTGAACTATCACGATCTCAGTAAGATGACAGTATTTTTTGCTTTCTGCCATTAATGAGCAGATCATAGAGTGAATAAATTCCATTTTGGTGTTCATCAAGCTAGATCATAATCTAAATTGAATGTGGTCATTCCAGCGACACTTGGTTCTTTCCAGTGTCCTGTTAACTCCAGTAGTGCTGTTTTTAGATATGTTCTGGGCAAGTTTGGCCTAACTGAAGATCTCTTAATTTGCTCAAGGGGTCGGGTGACTCATGAGGAATACATTTTATTTCCTGGTCCTGAGATTATGAGGCTAGTATGCTTAATAAGAAAAATGTGAATTTGGTGAGTTGACCATAGAATCTGTAGGGCATAATAACCTCTGCCACAAGTGTCAGTATAGATAGCTGCAAGACATCAGTTGTCGTCAGTTGGATGGTGCTTGGAATCACAAAGGACATTCAGGACTTGGCATTTGTTGGAAGGAGTTTGCCAACTGTTTTAGAATATCAATATCGGTTTCTCAAAACTAATAGCTTTGCTACTTACTAGTCTTTGATCCTTTTGCTGGTTTGTAGACTCTGGCTTTTTTACTTCAATGAAGTAAAATATGCACCATCAAGAGACTAGAGGGACTTGGTCTTCTTGAGACACATTTATAAATTGCACAGAGTAGCCTTGTGTATTATTTCTAGGAAAGTTCTTCCACAGCTGTTGGCAAAGTCTTCTCATCCCTTGGGGAGAACAGCTTCCAGCTTCCTTAACTTACTTCTGACATATTGATGACCAGACTAAATGTAATCAATTTAGCAAACAGACTGCTCCAGGGTCTGGTTCTCTCTATGAATCTCCATCCTTCTCTGTTATGCCCCTATGTGGAGTTTGGGTCCGGATAAGTACCTTGCTATGTCTGCAGCCATGTATATATATATAATTGTTACAGTAGTTTTACTGATCATTACTGTCAGGGAATCTCTGTGCCGAGCATGACAAAATGTGACTCACAAGCCTAAATCATACTTTCTCCCTGACCTTTTGAAAGCTTAATCACTTGTGTTGAGGCAAAATCAAACATGGTAAAACACAGATGTGCTCTAGCTGTATTTGTTGGAATTGACATCCCCATCTGGTTCCAGTAAATACATACTAGTTTCCAGTTTGCCACAAAAATAGACTGTCCATCACTATCCAGTCACAAGGTTTGTGATGCTGCAGGCAAATAGATTTGCCAAATGATCCTTTACAAGGCAGACAGGAAAGTCTGTGGCCCACCTTAGGAACATGCATGCAAGTGACCTAGCATAAAGCTTCCTTAGGTCTCATCCAGACACCTGAACATCAGCATATATGGAAGGAAAGCTCTGAAGTTGGAAAAAATTTATAATTCACTTGGAGAAAGCTGCAGGCAGCAGTTAGTATAAACCACTTTTCTATAATGAAGCGAGCCTAGCTGTACTGGGTGCACGTACTTGCAATTACTGCCAGTCTGTAGCACTGAAAGAGTCTGTGATTGTTCTGTCTCTACCTGGATTCCTTCCTTCTGTCATCTTTCATGAGAGATGGCCTGACATTATTACATTGTTAGATGTATATAACCTCTTTCACACTTAAGTGTGATTTATGACTAAACAGGAAACTGACATACGGTATCTTGATAACTTTTTTTTTTTAAGTGACTGCATGAAAATACCCCTTTGCAACAAATAGATGAGTTATCTTAGTAACATTTCCTCATATGCCTCCAAGAAATACACTGTAGAACTAAAGTGTACAGCAGGGCATATCTGTGAAATTCATTGGTTTCACCAAAGAATTAAATTCAGTTAGCCTCAGACCATCACTCAAATATTTAGTATCTTTAGAACCTTTTTTCTGAACATGATAAAGAGAAATATTTGCATTTGGGAAAGCAGAATAGCTGGGATTCTTCCGTTGGTATGTTACACAGCAGTGGTAAGAGAGTATCTGAGCCTTTGGTTATGAGTTCCAGCAGATAATTACAGCACCTAAAGATAGGTTTTGCTTCAAATTAAATGGAATTTTGGTTAACTGCAGATATCCACGTAACTTTATTCAGAGCTGTTGCATTTTTGATGCTCCATTTTTCATAGTGATGAGAATTTGTGGTGAGATATAAGTGGGATATTTGTCCTTGAGAAAGCTATTTCTGCTACTCTATGCATATTTTGGACATTAAAAATTGAAGTTTCTAACTGACTTTTTAACAAATTTTGTTCTGTTATGCAATTTAAGCAAGGAAATGACACAAATAAATAAAATTGTCTGCTCTGTGCTTAGCTAAATTATATTTTCTTCCTCATCCGAATACAAAAATGAGACTAGGAGTACCTTCATTTTCGTGACTGTGCTTAATTACCGTAACTGGAAAGAGGATGGTAGGTCATAATAATATGTATTTTCTTATGATACATAATATATAAAAATACATAATTGAGTGCTAGGTATTTTCTATCTATCAATAGACCATTTCTTTACTCAGTGGTATGGTCTCCATTTGAAGGAAAGAAAATCAGAAACATATGCAGCAATAAATATTTCAGTTTCAGAATCTTTTGAGGAAACATCAGAGAGAAAGAAAATAAGATCCCAGAGGTCTTTCTCTCCTCTCATATGTTAGCGGCCTGGTGCTAATACACTGCTAGGCCTTGTCATTCATAATGCTTTTGCAATCTTGGTTTCTATTTCTTGAATGCATTTCTAACAGTACCAACTTCCAAAGCCAAAGAGTTTGCCATATAGGATTTCAGCTGGGCTGTTAGATGAGGTACATGCTGGTTACACAGAGATTGTTCACTCAGAAAAAAAAAAAAAAAAAGGAAAAGAAAATTGATGTTTATCAGTTTGAAGCAGATCATTTTCTTTGTGCGATAGCATTGCTGGGACCATGGCAGCACATACTGTCAACAAAGTACTTTCAAATAAGCTTTTAGTAGTGATATCCTTTTTTTTTTTTTTGTTAACTGTTAGAGAATGCCTCAAGAATGAGATTCTTAAAATACAATCTGTTGCAGGGCCATCTGTCCAACAGCTTTTGAATATCTGCAACATGAATTGTGTGCTGGAATAGATGATTAAACCCAATGGAAAGAAAAGCAGGTTTTTTGAGCTTGCACATTTTATTGTGTTGGCTATTACCATATGTTAAGGAAGCAAAATACAACTGGATGAAACATATCCCTATGTTTGATGTAGCCATTTTCTGGAAAAAATACTGATGGTGTGCAATGTGTATGATTTTCAGATTCATCCAAAATATCTGCCTGGAGGGTTTTACATGTTCTCCCACAACCTGCCAGAATAATTGGATTTTTAATCAGAAGAGAATTAAAAGACTGTGAAAATTAATGTTTTCAAAATCTGCCTAAAAGAAAAAATATGTGTTTAAATTGAATGTTTAGGTATGCATCTAAGTAGTTTTGGAAACTATCTTGTGTAATGCTTTTTCATCTCTTCAGTACAGCAAGAGAAAGTAGGCAGAATGCAGTACAGTGCTTATAGCCCTATGTGAAATAAAGCTTTAAACAGAAGTGGTGGAAAATAAATTAGTTACTGAATTCACTAATAGGAATAAGTGCTCATATACTCCAAAGAAAGCTTAAAAACGCATCTAGAAAAAGAGAAGGCCGGAGGGTTTAGTTTGTGTCTGTTGAGCCAAAATTAATGATATACCAGCAGATTGGTTTGCATTTCATTGGCTTCACAGGGACAAACTATAATGGGCTTTGTGTCTTTCTTCAGAATATTATGAGTAAATTTTCAAATAAGTGCCTGGAGACTTTTTGTCTACATGACATATATTATGCTCCCTGGGAGTTCTGCAGCTATGAAGCACTGCTTAAAATTTGGTCATTAGAGACAAGAGCCTTTCTAAGTTACTACAGGTCAAGTTTAACCCATGCAGGGAAGAAAATGCTTTAAAGTGGAAAGAATGTAAATTGACTTTTCATGTAGAAAAAAGTGGTGTGAAAACTAAGATTTATACACGGGTAAAATTGATACCTAGGAGAAGTGACATACGTTGGGTACCAAATGCCATGACTGTGGTTAAATGACTGGATCTCTTTTTTAGAGTACTCCTTCCACTAGAGTCAGGCTGAGCAAGTGCTCGGCTTATTAGAAAAATTAGCAGATCACTTAAAGTTGCATAAATATTGAATCTGAAGCCAAATCAATCTGCACAATTAGGTTGCAAATTTGCAGTTTCATTATATAATAATTTATGAATCCTAAACCACAATATCATTATGGTTTGGTGTTACATTGCCTCACAATGAACACAGTGAGTTTTTTTCACATTCATGCCATATTATTTGGGTTCCTTACTGGGTCCCCAAAGAGACACCTGGAATGTGAAAAATAATCAGGTTACTTACCTTCTTTCAGATTTCCAGGCCTTTGGTCTGAAGAAAGGAATGTTCTTTAATCCAGATCCTTATCTGAAGATTTCCATCCAGCCTGGAAAACATAGCATCTTCCCAGCACTTCCTCATCATGGACAGGAGAAAAGATCTAAGATCATGTGTAATACCGTCAACCCGATCTGGCAAGGAGAGGTAAGCAGTTTGAGCATTGAGCTGAGACTTTTCTTAAAACATGGGCATTGCTCTAGCACTATCCCTCTTTTTTTTCTTCTTCTTTTTTTTTAATTCCTTTCTTGGTTAAATAGTTGTTGACCTAACTGTGCTTGATGTATTTCATGACTTCTTGTCTTGGTACAAAAGGCTTAATTAGCTACAAAGATGAATGATACATTAAAACTTTCAGTATGGGTTGTACTTCATGGATGTAATTTATGAAGTTGTTAATTATTGAAGGCAGACATGAAACAGAATTGAAAAATAAACTTGCATAGTGTGAAAGGCTGCTGAGTTCTTGTAGTGTTCATACACAGAGAGGAGACATTATATAAAGCAGAACAAGTATAGCATGCAAATAAAGAGAAGCTGCGTGATTGAAAAGCATCAGTAGCAATATAAATTAGAGGCAACTTTGGCACATTTGCCCATCACCTTGAAGAAAGTCTCTAGTCTGCTTCTTGTTGTTGGAAGGACTTGTAGGTAATAATGAGATCTGAGAGTTCAATTGCTGCCTGCTGTTTTTAAATTACATGCGAAATGGCGACAGGCAGCAAAGAATAAGGAATCTCTTTGGAATTAAAGGAGCCTGACATAATGGGTGTGATATACCAGCATGCTCTGTCAGACCAATATCTCCACTGCAGGAAAGAGTAAAAGTAAATAAATAGACTACATAGATTTATTCAAATTAAAATGCAAATTGGAAAGTAGTTCAGGGATAGTTAGGTCAAACTGTATGGACTTGGAACTGTGAGTGTGGGAAAAAGGCAGCAGAAATGTTACTGAATGCTCCTAGCTAGATACACATCAGGTTATGCAACAGGTGGGGAGGTTATATGACGGGGGACAACTTTGAAACTAGTAAGAGAAAAATGCCTTCTAACATGACTTAATTGAAGACACTGTCGTGAGGCATCCACCAAGCCATAACTTCTCTGTTGAGCCAAGCATCAGGTGTATCTGGTTGAGAGGTCGCAGGTCAAGCTGAGGAGCTGGAACTGACATGGAGGATCAGGCAGTTGGCAGAGATCTTTCAGTGAAGTGCATAAGACACAGACCTAGAGGCGGACAGGTATGAAGGGGAAACTTGCTATGTGAGTGTGTGTCATGCTCAGTATATAAGAACATGACCCTGATAAAATGTCACTGGTGTCTTCTCCTCAAGCCATGCCAAATGGCTGAGTTTGTGGGCTGTCATTTCTTTTCCAAGTGGAATTTGGCAGCGAGAAAAGGAGAAACAATGAAATGGCCTAATTATGGTCATCAGAAAGCAAAAGAGCACAGCTGGCTTCCAGCTTCGCTGTTCAGCTCCCTGGTTCTCTTGATCACATGCAAGCACACTACCTCTCCCTTTCTGCTGTTAGCCTGTTAGTGGCAAAGGAGTGTAAAAGAGCCAAGCCATCATTCAGCATGTTCTCCTGCTACCTTCTCTTCAGCTGATATTGAGATGTTCAACTGTGTGCATTTGTGTTGCAGTCTGTGCACATCAGCCCATCTGAACTCTTTGTTATTGAAAACCCACACTAGTTTCCACTGCACAGAAGACTGTAGTCTTGATTTTCTGCAACTTTGTCCCTTCATGGGACAAGGGGATAAGGAAGACTGAAAACTGTTGCTGAAACGTGGTGGCAACCATTCTTCTGTCCACCCTTTTTACTGATAGATGTGAATACATGAAGCAAAAAAGTATTGAGGACTCATAGCCATTTCATTAAAAGTATCAGTCACTAGTTGTTTTCACAAAAACATATTTTAGGCAATATATTATTTCAGAAGGGTCATTCTTTCCTTAGGTACTATCACTCTGTGTGAACAGAAGGCAGATGGGGTTTTTTGGTTGTTTTTTTCTGTTGAATGACCTGTCTGATTCATTTTGGATGCTGAACTTGAAAAAATCTGGAATAGGGAAATAAAATTATGGAAATAGCTGCAGAATAGGATCTTTATATATGTTCTTGATTACCCTTGAACAAATTCAGAAGTGAAATAGTAAACTCAGTTTTGTAGAGATTCAGGACCAAAAGTCCTACAGACTAAAAGATGACTAATTTACTTATATTAATTCATTCTGGTATTCCTCCTCATATACTTCCCAGGTTGTTCTATTTGCATAGTAACCACCTGCATTATAGGAACACTCTGGGAGCACCATTAAACCTCAGGCAAATTTTCATCTGTCTCATGTAATATTGATGATCATTTCACAGGCAGTTCAAATGTTGTTCAGCACAAGTTATCCTGACTTAAAGCTGTTCTTCCATTGCTCTGATTTACAGTACTTTGTGCAAGAGGACAGAAGGAAATGGAAATTTCTTATTAGATGAGGAGTAGCTTGTGACAATTTGACATTTGCAGGAGGGCTCTCTGTAGAGGTGAAAGAGCCCTCACGCTGAGAATTGTTCACTGAGACAGGTTAAAGCCCAGATGGTATCTTCTGATGATAGAGAGGCATCATTTTGTGATGTTTCTATATGTTTTCACATGCTCTTCAGAAACATCTCTACTGTTAAATGAGTGAGTGCTTGGAAACCACATGCCACTGGACAGCTTGACTTTAAACCCCTAAATTAAGCAGACATTGTGCTGACAGTCCAGACTGTTGCAAGAGCGTAGAGGGTGAGTTGTCCTATCATGCTGATTGGAGGTAAAATGCAAAGAAAATCTCAGAAGGAAGTCCCACTTCCCAAATATTCTGCACAGCTAGTAGAGTTGAGAAGGGTGAATGTTGATCATAGCTCTTCTAATATTGATATTAGAAAAATAAGGACACTATTCCCATACTGTTTCACACTGAGACAATGTATCTGTTATCACATTGTTCAGAAAAAGTCCTTTAAGAAGATTTAATTTGTCAGAAAGCAGTAAAGTGATAGACAGTTCAGACAAGCAATACAGGTCATTTTGGATCATAAGAAACAAAACAAAGTGGTTTCAAAAGTAGTTCACATACCTCCAGCTGGATAGGAAATTCTCCCTATGGTTTTTAAGATAAAGTACTTCAGGCTTCTGTAACTTTCCCTTAGACATATTCAGGTATTTCTTTCTTAGCAATGGCAACTTGAGCAGACTATTTCCCCAGTTTTCGTTTCATATATTGGTAAGTGGACAAGGAGCCTCAAGGACTGGCCAGTGAGATGATTAAAAATTGGCCAATGCAACCATTCAGCATATATAAAGTAGTAGGAAGTGCTAAGTGATGCATTGAATTTCAACTCCATTAATCTAGCTGTGGAAGAGTGGATTGCCTTAAAGTGGGAGCCCAGTACCAGGTTAAAAACAATCTAAACTCCCTGCAGCTTCACTCTTTGTTTCTTTGCCTCAGCCTTTACAAACACTGAGACAAAATAGGTTTTGAGTTGGCTGCCTTATCACTCTGAAGATAGCCACATTTCATTGGTGAATGCACTGATGCATATGAGCAGAAATGTTCCGTAGTCTTTTGCAAGAGCATTTAGCAAACAGTAGGTAATGTGTCAGATCTCATACACAGATTTACAGTATTTTCATCTGTGTAACTCATGCTCTCTGCAACCTTTCAAAAATATTGTACTTGAATAATTCCTCACATAACCTGTCTCTTGAGATTACAAATGCAAAATCAGAAGAAGGAAATACTCAGGGGCTTGAACACCAGGGGGAGGTAGTCTAGGGAGAGGGCTTCTGCAGTGCAGGCCATCATCAGTGACAGAAGCATTGGGTTTGGATGCTGCCTGCAGGAATGCCAAGATGACATGGAAGCAACTGACTGTCTGAGTACTGGTCTGTAATTGCTTTTCTTACAGTGCACAGTTATAACTCAGGCACTGACTCTGCGATCATGAATGCTGGACCACCCGGCAGTTCTGGGTTTGAAAGACACTTTGTCAAAGTAGCCAGATCGTGCAATAAGGGGTTTATGTTAGCTCTCTCCTTCTCTAGAGGCTTTATGTCTGCTGATACGATGGGTGCTACCTGATGTAGCACTATGATCCTAGAGTCATACAAGCAGGGGACACTTGAGCAAAGCTGAATCTTTCCAAAACAGAGTTAAGCCATTAAAGATGTTTTAATATATTTGAATCAATAGTATGAATTTAAACTAAAGCAGGTTATATTTGATCTGATTTTGCTTTAATATTTAGAGCACTGGATGCTAACAGTGCTACCATGGCCTCACAGAATCCTTCAGTCATTTCACTATAAGACCACAATAAAAGCAACAGAAACATCACATTGATTGAACTACTTATTATTTATCTTGCATAACCTTTCCTCCTGTTTCTAATGGCAAATACAAAAGAATATGCTGCAGAAACTTGGAGGCCTTTACCCCTAAGCATAAAAGCAGTATACAGGTGAAGTGAAATCCAGATCTGGAATTTAATAGAAGTTTTGCCAAAGGTGTCATCGGGACTGAGTAAAGCCTTGTGGGTGGTACCTTCACTGTATAATATTTTTGCACACATGTTCAGGTAAAGTGTAACACATAGTTTAGTAACTGTAAAGTGTAACACACAGAAAAACTGTAGTTTTACCGACACATTTTTTTATTTTCTGTTGATGAATGAAGTGCGAAAGCCCAAGACAACTTCACTTTCTTCAGGAATGAGTTATGGTGTGGAAAATTGTCTAGATTTTTTTCAAGATGTTATCCTTCTAGAAGTGCATTTAATTGCAGCTTCTGTATCTAGAAGACCATTAGTCTTGGTAGTGTTTATATTGGTGATTATGAGAGTCCTCAAATATATTCAGTCTCTGCTGTGCTTATAAATTTAGAGACAATGTGTGAAAAAGAAAAACCCTGACTCTTTAAGCAGTGTTTTCACTTGATTTATCCAGAAGTTTATTTAAATTTCTAATGTCTTAGGGCTGAAATTTGCCATTAATAAAGTAAGAGACATCCTTTAAGACTATCCAAACCATCAGAGGGAATTCATGATGAGCCTATTAACTAGCAGCTCTGAATGCTGTGGAATACATGAAATAGATGGGAAGGA